GATATATTGAAGGATCACCTGAAGACGGTGGTCCACATCGGCTTCTATCTCCAGAAACCAGGAGCTTCGGCTCGAAACCATCATAACACTCATCCAAGCAAATGCCGAGCTGCTGTCCACATAATTAAAAATTAAACCAACATTTCTGTTACCTCTTTCAACTCATTGAAGAATTGCAAGCATGTATTTTTCTTGCAAAGCCTGTTGCACAACCATGGTGGCGTTGAAGCCACTCCTCGACCACCTAAAAAGCAAGAGGCACTTGCTGAATGCCGGCAGCTGCAGATCATTTTACATCTGCTCCTGGTAAGTGTTTGTTACTGCGTGATGTTGTAGTTGCAAGGGGAGCTTCGTGTGGGGTTGGAGAACAATCGAAGATGTTGAAATCGTCTCCAAATGTATTAGGAGATCCGTGTAGATGATTGGAAATATACATCCCATAATGAAAACTAGTTTGCTGATTCAATAGTACTGTGCAACAAGAATACTCCATTATCCTTGTCATCAACCCGGTTTGGCTAACGGAATCACCGATCATAAAATGGGTTGGAGCCAACTTCAACGGCCTCTTTCAACTCAAAGGAAACATGTATTTTTCTTGTAAATCGTGCTGTGTAACCTTGGTGGGGCTGAAGCCCCTCCTAGACCACCTAGGAAGTGGGAAACACCTGAAAAATGTCGGTGGATGCAGATCCTTCTACATCTGTTCCTGGTTAGTGAATATTACTGTGTGATGTTGCAGTTGCAAGGGGAGCTTCGTGTGGGGTTGGAGATCAATCGAAGATGTTGAAATCGTCTCCAAATGTATTAGGAGATCCCTCTAGATGATAAGAATATACATCTCATAATGAAAACTAGTTTGCTGATTCAGGAGAAAGTAAGTTGGATGTTCTGTATCACCGACATCATCGATGATGTCATGCGATTTAACCCTAAACACCTGGGCTTTAACCGTAAAAAATCAGATTTAATCGTAATTTTTGCGATTTAACCCTAAATTGGAGCGTTTTATCGATGATGTCATTGATGACATCATTAGTTTTACCCTAAAATTGTGGGTGTTTTAACCCTATTTTTTCGATTTAACCCTAACAAATAGAACATATTACTCCTAAAATTCCTAGTTACCCTAACCTTATCATCATGATGATAACCCTAATGAGGGCCTCGTCAGACTGCGGCAAAAAAGAAATAACCCTGTGAATATAATCCAAATCTCCATAGAAAATTGACGCCAGAGCGACAAAATCGACGCTCCAGAAAAAGGAAGAACGGACCACATTTTTCCGCTCCAAACAGGAGTTTGACGAAGATACGCCATCGGTGCTGATATTCACTGATTAGTTCATCTTGATATCGAAGAGGTTATTAGCCACGGACAACGACAAAACTCATAAGCATGGTTGCAAGGATTGCACTGAAAGTGTTGCCGATCACCAAGGTGAAGGAATTTGACGTCGTTCGTGAAGATTACCACTTGACGCTCGAAATGTACTTTGAATTTTCATTCTCCCCACATGTGTAGTGTGATTGCCATTCTAATCCTGGACAATTTTCTTTTTTCGTCAGGCACCGCAAATTTGCCGCAGTCTGACCAGTCCCTAACATACTTGCCAACCCAGCCAAAGCAAATCCCGTTGTAACGCACACCCAGTTTCCCTTTATTTTCTCTCATTTCCCAGATTTTGCTGGTTTTCGCCAATTTCGACCATTTTCTCTTTTTGGGCATTTTTTTAGTACATGTAATT